AGTAGCGGGGCTGCAGCGGAGCTCATCGGGCTCTTCAGGGGAGCTCATCGGCGCTGCTCAGCGCCGTGCCGTCTCCTTGCCGCCGGTAGGCATCAGGTGTCGGGGTTACCTCAACATCTGGAGGGGCTGCAGTCCATGGGCCACCCACTCTAAGCTGGGGCCGGGGAGAGCCTAGCTCTCCCCCAAACTTGAAAAGCATCTGCTGGGGACTTAACCCCTTGGCCCCATGACTCTGATATCCAACTGAAACAATAAGATCCTGGGGGGGGGGGGGGCATATGGCAAAAGGCCCTGGGGGGGGGGGGGATATAAGCTGCGTGATGACAAATGTTTCATTTGCCCCGAGCACTCTCTGGCTTATTTTAGCCTCGGCTACACGGGAAGATGCCTGGGGGCAAAGTAAAAATAGATACTTAGCTAAAAGAAGAGAATTCCCAGCATGGGGCATGGGGCAGCACGTGGAGCACGAGGCTGGGGTTCTGCGGCCACCCACAGCAGTGCTGGGGCATGGGGTCCCACATCATACTGGGGATGGGAGCCCCTGGGTGAGCCCAGCACTGGCACCACTTGTGTAGCCCTCTGTCCCTCTGATTCCTGTGTCTCCTCTGTAGGTCTACTGGAAATCTCCCCCGTGGAAAGAGGAGTGGTGAGCATATTTGGAGTCAGAAGTGGACTCTTCGTGGCCATGAATAGCAAAGGCAAACTCTATGGATCTGTAAGTAGCCACTGACTGTGTGACTAGGAAGGAGACCATAGTGTGTTGGGGTGAAAGCTGTGCATGGTGCTAGAAGCTGCCCAAACCCTACCCTTGTGCCCCTTGAGTCAGGCAACACAGAGTAGCCCTTTCTGCCTTGCCAACAGGTGTGCTGCCCAGATACACTGGTTACTGAGATTTTGAAGTGAAACTCACTCTTTTGCATTACATTTCCTTGGTTACCCCATAAAAACTATAAATCACCCAGCCATGGCTACCCATCTTGCCTACCACATAGAACAACATAGTCATTTGTGTAGCAAGACCTCAAGCTAGCCTCAGTCCATATCCTTCTTATATTTATGTATAAACAGCCTCAAGCATGTATGGTGATCACTCACTCCATCTCTCAGAGGGTACTTGAACTTGTGATGAGTCAGGCCTCACAACTGATCCTTTATGATGTGATGAATCAGTGCACGTCTCATACCTATTGATCACTCTTTGTTAATGCTCTTGATCGGATATTCTGTTCCCAAGACAGTTCAGCATCTCTGGGGCTTGGACTTATATTTATAAGAAGGTAGACCTATTAGGAGACAATACAGGCCTTTTTTTACATTGTATCTTTGGAAACTATAGAGGCATCTTATAAAACACACTTGAGGTGGACAATAACAGTGCATGTCTTTGTCCATGTTGAGCTGTCCTCCTGCTTTTGGGTTCACCTCTATATAAGTTACTGTGATCAGCATCATTTCAAACCCATGTTCCTGTGTCTCCTTCCTTTCCCATGGCTTTTCTATTTCATGTCAGGTATGCTTTGAAGAAACTTGGGCTGAGGAAGGGCCAAATTATGTCAAAGTTAACTAGGGCATTTTAACATGAAGGTATGAAGCATCCAGAATTATTTTCTGAGGCATCAGTCTTGTCACAGAGGATTTTGACTTATATAAAAGCCAGGTAGAATCAGTCACCAAAGTGCAAGAACTGCCTTTGCATAATTTCTTAGGAAGACTGCTGCTTTAGTGTCCTGTATAAAGTAATTCCCAGTGCAATATTCAGCTTAGGAGACTGAGACCTCTCTTACAAAACCCTAGGCTTTTGCCCAATAATGAGATGAGTTCATTTGCTACTCTCTAGATAACACCACACTTGTAACACCTGTGCCTCTTTGTACCTACTTGCAAATGAAACCTCTTCACTGGAAGGGTGCCTTTTGTCAGCTCTGTTTTCCTGATCCATTAACATAAGTGAATCTCAATCCTTCCTTCAATTTTAAAACTAAAGAAGCAGAAATATTGTGTGTCTTTAAAATGCTCCTTTCTCCTTAAGCAGCATCAGATTTTTTTTCTGAAGCCTCCTGGGCAATTTTTTGATGGCAGGACAACCACTGAGCATTTAGATGAGCAGGGCAGTAGAACTGGGCTTGGGCCTTACCCCACTGCAGCTCTACTAAAATGTGTCCCTCTCCCTCAAGAATGCAGACATAGCTATGGGTGTCCTTCCCTCCTGGCCTGGACACAGCATGCTTAATGCTCCTCTGACTCCTGAGTACTGTTTGAAGCTTCGTTTGGGTGACCACTTCAAAAGATTACTAAAGGTGCGGGGAGCCAGCTGCACATTTCCCCGTAGCACACCTTCTACACCTGGTAGCAAGAATATTTCCACACTTGATGTTTAAAATTCCTTCCGTCTCATTCTTTCCTTTTCATTTCAGACCCATTTCAGTGATGAGTGCAAATTCAAAGAGATTCTCCTGCCAAACAACTACAATGCTTACGAATCCAGGATTTATCCCGGGATGTACATAGCCCTGAGCAAAAATGGAAGAACAAAGAAAGGCAATAAAGTATCTCCCACAATGACAGTGACACATTTTCTTCCTAGAATCTGAGACCTCTCCCTTCAGACCTACCTCAGCACAGGGGAAGATGTAGAACATGTTCTGGGAAAAGAAACATGGTGCACTTTTACTGGAGAGTTTTATGCAAGAGTAGGTGTAAGATATTTAAGTTAATTATTTAAATCTGTATATATTGCCACAAAATTTATTTATAGTTCCAATTCTTTTTTTTAATTTCTGAAAACAAAATGAACCTCCAACCCAAGGTATTTCTTTTCATGGTGCAACAGTAGAAGACTTCTGCTTTGTGGTTTATTTAATTTGTGTCTAAGTTATCACAGGTGTGCTGCTACTCCATGTCCTAAACCAGGTGAAATTCAATTCCTCTAACTCAATGTTTTGCACTGTTTGTGTGTTGTACGGTGTCCTTCGTTGTACATGTGTGTGTTTGTTTGTTTGTATTGTGGCTTTATTCTCTTCTGCGTGTTTTCCAAACCTCCCATGACTCCCAAAGAAGCTCTTGGCCTCCAAGAAGGAGTGGTGGTGGAGGTGCCTGGGTGGGATGCCAGCGCGGAGCCACACACAATGCCTGACCTCCTTTGTGTGGTGTTGCTATTTAATTGGAATGGGATCAGTTTACCTCAGTACAGAAAGTGCGGTGCTGAAGAGCTACCCCCAAAATCTGTTTTTAGATCTGCCAGTGCTGAACTTTGAACTTTCCTGCAGTCCGTCTTCTTAGAGCTGCCAGGCAGCAGAGAGGCTTAAACACCTATAAAAACTCAGCAGGATTTTTTTTTCTATTTAGATAAACAGGAGCATACTATCTTTAGTGGCCCTTTTGTGCCCTAATGGAAGCTTATATTTGATGTGATTGCTTGGCACTAGGCTAAAAAAAAAAAAAGAAGTCTGTCCCTCAATGAGCACGCTGTGAAACACAGTACCGCGAGCAAATCATATTTTTATTCAAATCAAATTCCCTTTCACATTTGGAGACTACATTCATTTTTTTAAAGTTTGTGAAACTCATTAATAGTCATAAGTTTTTAAAAAGCAAAAGCATTTGCTGGTTCATAAAACTACAAGCTCTACAGAGAGAATTTAGGTTGATTACAAGGAATTGATGTTGTTTTGTACTATTTATTATTTTTGGTGCAGTATTTGGAAGGAGAAATATGCTGCTTTTTCCCATCTCATTCCCTGACAAAGTTGATTGATTAATTTCTACCTCACTAACTCTCAAAGCCAGTCTCCTAACAAAACCTGCATGGAAAGAAGGTGCAGACTTTTCTACTTGGTCTTACAGCTCTGGAGGAGGGCCTGGGGGAACAATTGTAATCCCAAATCTCTCTTTTTTTCCATATGTAGCCAAAAGTATTCAGGATAGAGTTGGTTGCATCCTATTTGAGCCTTGTCACGTTTGAGCTATCTTTATCCAGTGGTTTACTTTTAGTAAGGATAATCATGGTGAAAATATTTGCAGACAGCTGTCAGGCTGCAGTACTATATCGTCATCAAGTAACCCTATATTTTTCTTTATATATTTTGCAAGTGTAACTCATGTCTCTAATGTGATGAAGGAAAAGACAGGTTTGATAATGGGGGAATCACTAAAATGATCCATTTGTCTTTTCTCTCTCTCTTTCTCTCTCTCTCTCTCACTTTCCTTGCTTTCCTTGCTTATTTTTTTTTAATGTTATGTCATCTTGGGGACATCGATATATTAAGTGGGAACCAGGACTAACCACAAGGTTTGATGACTTCAGAGGATGTTTACAGATTATCTTTCAATCTAAACTAGTTATTTCTGACTACAAGCAAATCTGAGTTCCGACGTTTTTTGTTTGTTTTCTCTTTACATTCCTACAAAAAAGCCCTTCTTTCTTTATGGTATAGACTTGCCTCTATCCTCTACTTACACATGACCTTGAAGACAAAAGCCACTTACCAAAGTTCAGTAAGACCAGAGCAGACCAGGACCAGATCTTAAGCCAGCTGCTGTCAAAGTAAAAATAACAATTAAGAAAAAGGAAGCCAAATCAAGAGAGTGCCTAGGAAGTGTCATGCCTAAGGATATTTAAGTTGGTTTTTTTTCTGTAATTTGGGGGATCTCTGTACTTTCTGTGTTTTCTATACGTGAGAAATCATTGTCTAATTATCACCACTACCTCTGACAACCAATGATTTTGTTCCAGATTTCAGATAGCAAAATCAGATCACAAAGATATTCTCTGGGAATGGTTCTTTGTCACTTTTACTCCACTAATTTCACAACCAATGGCCTCATACAAGATATGTTCAGAAGTAGTTGTTGTAACTTTGAAATATTGTGAAAAAACCTTGATGACAACGTTACATGGTATGAGCTTTCACCATTTACCAGAATCTGTCTGTAGTTTTATACAGGTGCTGTTCAAGACTGTGGTGTATGTGCTGTGCACATTTAAATGTATAATAAAGGATAAATGTTTACAATATGGCAGCCTGGTATTGATTTTAACTCTGTAGAAGGAAATGCATCCTGTAACAGAAGACAAAAAAATTACTATTTCACTTTCCCAAAGACTGGGAAGTCTTTGCACCTATGCCAGCTACTTCACAATGACAGCCTGGATTTCTTACTCAGCTAAAGTTCCTCCTGCCGAAGTTGGAAACCATCCAGGAAAGCCCAGCTTCATGAGATTGGTAACAGATACGCACGGTTGCATCTGTCACATGCTAGTATTCTTACTTGGGCTATTTGTGTGGTTATTAACAACAGCAGCTTTACATGCAGCGTCTAATTTTAATGATCAGAGACACAAAACAACTCTGGAGTTTATGTTGCTGGCTGTTAGTTACAAATGAAACCTCATTGCCTTTTTCTTGGCTTTAATGAATGCTGCTCACTTGCTATCTGTGAAGTAGGACTGCATCGATGCAAAAGATTGTAGGATTACTTGTCTGACTTGAGATACTCTTTTTATAGTTTGTGGTTATACTCATACAAGTGTACAGAAATATGAAGTGCTTTATAGCACACCTTATGGTACAATTGTTGTTATTTATGAATACACATATGCACTTGTACACACATGCACTCACTGTGTCAAATCTATGTTGTTTGTTTTACTCCTGGCACACTCTCCTCCAAGGATCAGGAAAGGATATGTAACAGGGAATGACAACATTCAGGTTTAGTTTTACACACCTTGATGGGAAAGGGAGTTTGTCCCAACAACTGGCCATACAAAACAGAAAGCCAGACCCCAAAATACAGACTTCACTACGTTTTCCTCTGAGTGATGCTCTTTTTCCTGTCCCTGGAAAAAGGAAGGCAGTAGATAAGCTGAGAACGTCCAATGCCCTCACTCTGAGCAAAAGCAATTTCTCTTTGAAGCTGTATAGACTCTATAAATACTTAGCACAGGTGGGGTTTTTTTAACTGACTAAGTATAGCTGCAGAGTGTTTAATGGTCCTATGAATAGAACCGGGATAAATGGGCAAGCGGACATACATAATGGTTTTTCATAATTCACTTTTTTGTTTGCAATGCTTGTAAACAAAGAACAACTGTAAATCTATTACTGCCATGTCTTCCAAAATTTTAACAAAAAATTATGGCCAGGGACAAAAATTTGTTTTAGTCTTGGGGAGATATCCAATTATAATTTTAACATCAGAGATAAATCCTAAGACTTGACTCTTAGGAAGGTGAGATTTCAGAGTAGCAGTTTTGCAGGTTCATAGCACTTAGAGCACTGGCACTTCACATGGGCTTTTACCCACATAAAAATATAAGCATCTGTCGCCACCACAGACGGAGCAGCTTGAGATGTCATAGAGAACTCCAGAGAAACGTCGTTTCTTCTCTTTCATCACCCCTTTTGGCTTCATTGCCAAGCCACCTTTCCTAACATTGCCTTTGGAGGTAGTGAAAGAAATGCATTAAAGGTGAAAACTAATTTTAATCTTCCCCAAAAAGGCCCCAACGCTACATGTGTTGCATCATTTCTGAGATCACTGAGAGCATCACCATGCTCCAGGCATGCCCAGTGCTCCTGGCATCCTCTACCAAACATTTCTCCCCACAGAACAACTGAAAACCTTTCCTGAGGATAGATTAACACCTTCCATAAGCCAGGCACATTTCCCCCATCCACTGATGGTCCAGCCTGTCCTGGAGGATAAAGAGACGAGGAGCAGTGCCAGCCTGGCTCCATGCCGTGCCCCTGCCTGCCAGGGGAAGGGCAGAGACGAGGCTCCAAGCCCTGTCACTCCTTTGCAGACGTGCATGTTTTAAATGGTCTGTGCTTAACATTTTCTGACTCATCTGTGACATCTACCAAGTTGTCTGTATCTAATCTGTGCTAATAAAAATCAGCATGACAAAACACTGCCTTGTGTATAAATAGCCACAAGTTTCAGAGCGGTCACCGAGTTTATAGTGCCAGATTCACTTGTTCACACTTTACCACTTGGTTTCCACCGCAGTATATTAATTGACCATACAAGTGGCCAATTAAGGAGAGTCTGTTAAGAGGTGAGGAGTCTTTTGATAAAGGCTAGCAAGCACTTCAGCAAGAAAGTTAAAAGGAATTCCCTGAAACACTGTACCTCCTGTTATATGACACAAACTGTCGTTGCTTGCCAAGCACAGATGAGAACAGATTTTAATGTAGAAAACTCAGTCTAAAGATAAATAAACAAACAAACAAACAAACCAGCAAACAAATAGCCCTAGTTGTTCTTCTACCAAATGATCTAAACATGGATGGGACAGTGTGAAATTGTAATACCTAGCTGCTTTCAGGCAATACAACATGCAAAAGGAAGGCACAGCATGATTTCAGTTTCCTGCATATCAGCTGTGATTTATGGACTTCAAACAAGTAATATTATTCTGAACTGTTTGGTTTTAAAATTTATTCCTTAAAAATATAGCTTAGTATCATGCCAAGAAATACCTACACCCAGTCACTTAAGGCAGATAATTACTTAATACAAAGTTATGACAACTTCTTATGTCGTAAGTTTCATTATACATTAAAAAGAAGCTAGTTAGTGCTGTCTG